TAATTACTGGATAGAGGGTAGACCGGGGTATATAAAAGAGGGGAATGTAATGTGTGCGTGAATAGTGAGTAATTGAACTGCAGTCACAGGGTATTGTTGAAGTTAACGTTCGTTCGTTACAGTGTTGTTTTAGCGCGAGTATTGAGATTAAGTGTATAGCAGAGTTATATTCAGAAAGAATAAACCAGTTTTATTAAGTAAAGACTTGTGTCGTTAAAGTTTCGTTGGAACGAAGTTACGAAAAAATCAATTAACAAACGGAGACGTAACAGTACTAACAAAAAGTTTCATCCAATTTTATGGAGTCTAACTCTCTTGTTTTATAATACTTTAAGATATAATAGTTGTATAGTAGTTACAGAAAGAAACATTGGAATTATTAAAGATAATTTATTGTATAACTTAGTAGTTACACAGAGGCTTTTCTTTTGTTATAGTACTTATAGAAACTTCTTACATGTTTTTATGTGGCAACAGAGAGAAAAGACTGACTGGAGAAGATTATATGGAAATAAAAAGCAGAAAAAAAGAGCTAACGGAGAATAATAGAATTGAAAAAAGTCCTGACTTTAAAAGTGGAATACCTCGAATGATTAAAAGACACTTAGCAAAGCCTTTCCCAGAAGGTAATAAAAATAAAATTAAATCATTGTGAACTCTGCCTTAGATACAGCTAATTTTATGGCTTTATGTTATGTTTTATGACAGAATGACTGCATTGAGAACTTTCTATTGAGTGCACCACTGATGGGTACATGTCCTGTCTTTACCCATTTAAGCTTTAGATGTCACGTGCCACTGGTGGTGTACACTATGATTTAAGTAATAATAATCAAATGATCATAATGTTTTATTTTTTATTTATTTTTCAGCCTAATCTTGCCATTTTTTAGAAGAATTATGAATATTTCACCATTTTATGGTTGTAATAAAGGGACATTAGATAAAATAAACCCTACTGTGGATGATAATAGTTCTATCCTTATTGTATTACAGTCTTCATAACAGTTTTCTTATTTATGAAAGAAGTCTCAATTTTGCTTCAATTACTCACAATGAAAAATGTAATACCAATCTCTAGATATAATTTTAAAATAAAAAGTAATTTAATCATGTAAATGTGTTTTATTTCAGTTGTCCTTTCAACATGGCATCCGTGCTCCACCAGTGGTACATGATGGAAGGTGTGGCTTTAATATAGCCGTCCGTATATAATAAATGCTTCATACAGGACTTTGGAGATATGAGGTACAGTAATATCTTATGGATGCTGTGTACCACGAGTGGCTCATGATGTCCAACAGAAAACATGTGTACCACCGGTGGCGCATGATGTCATGAACATATTAATATGTAAAAAAATATATCAGGTTTCTATTTAGTTTTACAGAAACTGATCAGTTGGCAGCTAATTGGTTGTTGGCATCAATTACTAAAGAAATTGTTAGAAATAGTAAATTTAGTTTTTTAAATGTTTGTTTACAAAAAAATTACTCATATTAGAGATCAACCAATTGAATAAAGTACAAGAAAAAGCTACAGTAATAGGTTTCTATTACAGTTCACACTAATTATGGACTATGTAAATAAAACTTTTTCTTTCAGATTATTCAATAACATAATGAAGTAGTATGCTGAAAATATTTCTTAAAGAATTTTATTGTCTTAGTGACTAGAGTTTTCCAACAAAATTCGTTTTTTGGACACCCAAATTTTTGAGACTCAATGAAACTTAAGAAAGAATATTTTTAATTTTTACTTGTGTGCAAATAAACTCAAGTACACAGTAAGTACTGACAATCCATGTTTTTATGTATATATTTTATTTATTGTTAGTTATATATTTTTTAACAAAATTAACTAACATGGAAAAATTAGAAATTTCTCAACTTAACAAAATTTCAGGAGAATGAAATGTCTAAAGTTTCATGAGGTGAAAATATGCATCACACCTCACAATCACTTGTTGCTTATTCATTTCTATAGGAAACAACTAGTGAACTCCCACTGTGATTTATTGCTTTTAAAGATTACTGCTCCAATTGGGTACAAAGTACAGCAATAAAATCATATGTTAAAATAGAGCAGATATGAAAAGGTTAACAATTGAAGCTGTTAAGTTTGTAACGTTCTAATCAATACTATAGTCAATGCATGAGAAAAAAAAATTGTATTTATTTTATTTCATATTTTTCAAGTTTTCATTTCACAATGATGATTTCCCTACTGTTGGTGTTTTAGAAAATATGAGATAATAATAGAAAATTTTAACAAAAAACTTGATATTCATTTAGAAGGTTCTAAAGGTTACAAATGAAATATATATATATATGTAACTATAAAATGGAAAAAAGTAGCTTTATTCTTAGCATGAAAATCACATATCACTCAGACTGATTCAGTAAAGACTTCAGAAATTCAAAGACAAAAATAAATCTTTAGCAAAATGCATTATTAAAAATCTGATTTTTTCTTATACAACAGACTTGTAACAATTACTAAAAGTTTACCAAATTTTGTGGAGACAAACATTATTGTGTGTATAGTTTCACAAATTGGGGTTGCTCAGTTTGACCAAGTTCACAAACAGATGGTTAATCACTGCTAGTGATTAAGTGTATTTTGTAGATATACATTAAAAAATATAACTTCATCTAACTGAACTTTTAAAAGTAAAATTCAAAATCTAGTAAATGCTCTGGATACCAATGATCTTAAAACTGTAAAAATGCATGTTTTGATAAACACCGTACTTAAAAACTGTATATATATTTTGCTTATAAAAACTGTTCATGTAACTTTTCTAGAGGAGGATATCATATTTTCAAAGCGTCAGCATCGACCACAAACTCATCGCATTATTAAAAGTCACTTACGAGAAATGACAGAAGCTGAAGTTGAAGCAAGGCGAAGATATAAGTGGATAGTGAAAACTGGTTTATGAATATTCTGCTATTGCATTAAAGGAATCTTTGTGTATTTTGAATTTAAAAAAAGGCATTCTCCAAAAGATAGAAAATATTAAAAACTTTGATAGATATTTCTTCCTAAACAATTAACTGTTTAATGACAAGAACACAAGTGTGTTACAATAAAAACTTAATATTGAAATTGGATGTAACGTTTTTAATGAAATACAATCACTCTCTCAGAAAGATAGCATTTATAAAAACATAGAATAAATTATGTTACTAAGTAACATTTAAGTAAATCTTTGCAATGACAATCCCACCCATTATTTCAAGTCTTATAGATGATACTTAACCTGCCTAATATTCAGTGACCCTGGAAAAGTGTATTTCAGGTTTTCCCACTATATCTTAAATTACAATATATAAAAAATTCAATGTAATTGCCACAAATATACAGAAGTTACCCTATGTAAATAACAAGTGCCTGTTTGATGAAATATGTCAACAGCAAATTTAACTCATTTCAGTAAGTTCTGTTTCAAAACCTTGAACTTTTGATGCAACAGTGACCTTTGTTTATGGTTACAGAGAGATGAAAATGTTCCCTGCAGTATATGATAGTTAGAGCCATAATAGAGATTTCTAGAACAAATCAAATAAAATGCCAGTAGATTATTATAGTGTTTTTAAATACTAATTATTGTTCATAAACATATTTTATTGTACAACAGATTATTTTGCAACTTTTTATTAAGTTCAAAATCATCAAAAAGCAGAAGTCAAGGAAGGGAGATATATGTGTGTAAGTATATTTTATAATGTCAAAAATGAGAAATTTTTCATTTGAAACTGAAAATGATTTAATTAATTTAATAAGCATATGCCTATTCTTTCTTTGTTTTATTGGTTGAACTTCTTGTTATTATGAGCAGAAACCTATGAAAACTTGTATGAAAGTGTTGAGAGTCAAATATTTGTACTTTACAGGAATGTTTAGGATCAAAATTTAAGTAAGTGCTATTGATAAATAAATTGATACTCCATACTTGACACTTTTTTGCCTAAAGCTGTGTTGTAAAAGATTCTGATTGTGACAAATTACTTGTCACTTTTATTTATAATAATGTATTTGATTTTTTAATGTGCTCGACCACAAAACTCTTTCCAAAATTAACAGACATCTGTATAAAAATGACTGAAGAAAAATATTTATTAATGTTTCTAACTCTGATTGCTTTGTTTCAAAGTAATAAGAGAGAAATATTTTGGATAGTTTGGAAACATAGAAAATATAGTTTGAATATAAAGAGTTATTCAATTAAATGTTAACAGAAATAGTGTTAAATGATATTTTATTTAAACAAATTATAGTGGTAAGCTTCACAACTCAGTCATTAATACACTACAAAAGTAAAACACTATTTTACACAATCATCTTAATACCACAAAACTATCAAGTTGTGGATACCCTGCTTTTGAAAATAATTCAACCACATACCACCTCCAGTATTTCACATTGTCGAAATAAGTAACACTTTGAACCAATATTATGTAATGGCTGGTAGTTTTTTTGAAATTTAATAATCTTCAAATAATTGAATTTTTGAAATATTTTTATCTATTGACAGTACATGATTATCTTGGAGAGATCAATTACATTTTTTATCATTGATGCTTTACTTATTTATATGCAAACACATACTTTAAAAAATGTTTAATTATATATATAAAGTTGAAGTGTTTCTTTTATTACTTGGCCCAACACACTTTTTCCATTAGTGCAAGAAATTGTGGGTCTTCTAGTGAATCAGTGCTATGCTGTGTTATTACTTTTTTATTTCTACTTTTGCTTACTTTATTCTTTTGGTCTGTTTCCCTCTTAACACAGCAATAAGTTTTTGAGGTAATGTTTAGGTCAGTTTGCTCATTTTTTTTATTTTTCTCATAAACACGTTCAGCATTCAAGTGATCTGCACTTAGATTAATTTTTTCCAAATTTTCAGGAACTTTCTGAGGCTCAGAAACACAGGAAACTGTGATTTCTGGAGTAGCATCTGAAAAGCTACTGCTCTGTCTACGGATTTTCATCTTATCTGGAATATCTAGTGTTAAGTCCAGAGACAGATGAGGAGAGGTAGACTGTTCAACGGTAAATTGTGGTTGTGTTAAGTCCTGGGTTGTATATGAAAAATTTGCTGATTTCATAAAGGATGCTGATTGTAACTTTTGTTTCTCTGTTTTCACGTCTGGGACAGGTGCATTTTTTTTTACACTTTGCGTTACTTTCTTCCCTGATGTTAAATTTGCAACAGAGGCATGTTTTGGGGCCGCTAATGTTGCATTTTGGTTATGTTGCTTAGTAATTTTTGTAGGCTTCGTGTTTTTCTTTGTTATTGGGGCTAGCTCTCTTTCAAGGGTTAATGTCGAATATAGCTCTTGAATCCTTTCATTAACTCTCTGGTGAACGCTTATTTGCTTTTCACGACTCTGCTTAAAACATTTCAAGCGAAATTCACATCTACGTTCCACTTTCTGTCTGTCACTTTCTAAATCAGCAAGTAGCTTCAGCAGGTGTTTTTGCTCACATGGATTCTGAGAAAGTATTACTCGTGGAAGGCTGGATTTTGGAATAACAAAATCTTCACGTTTTTTTTTATCAGCTGACATTTTACAGTTTAACACGTTTTAATAACAAAAATATTCAGTTGTGGAACTTTAGGTATTCTTGAAGAATAACCCCCCTCAGAGGTAAATGTGGGGGCTTATAACGGTAAACATCAGGTTTCGATATCCCGCGGTACGCACAGTACATATAGTCCAATGTGTAGCTATGGGCTTAACAACAAACAAACTTGATGAATGGGTTGATATAAATGTTCAAAAACCACTCTAAATAATGAACGTTACATTAACTTCTCAGTAATGGAAAGTTTTTACAATAAGTAATAATCGTTTAACAAATATGTAGATAACTAACAGCTTTTCAGGAAAGCAAGCAGATTTTATACTCACATGTTCTTGTATGTCGCATAAAAACCGAAAGCAAGCGACAGCTAGTGTATTTACGTTAGATATCGGTTTCTATGGCTGCATAGAATGCTTAAGCGTGTAGTGAATAAACTTCTCTTTCAATGTCGCCATCTACGGGAATTACGAAATATTATTGATAGTTTGTTACTTTCTACTATATTAGATTTGCGGGTTTATTGCAAGCTATTGGTGGCTTGAAAGTAACGTTTTTGGTTTGTTTTTATCAGTTAATATTGGATGAACGTTACCCTAAGTTATTTTAATCACAGATGCCAACATCTCCGATTTTTAATGTCAAAATTCTTCCTCGCATTCTCTCAATTTTAAAAGCAGCAAAACAACAAATATGATTTTCCATAAATGTCGAATTAAATTCCGGTAGAATATTAAAAAAACAAAAGATATGCTGACAGTTTATATATAAATATATTGTAGGCCGTTTCTTATAGACTTTGCCCCAATGCCTTAGCGACAGAGCTTCGGGCTCACGGCGTTGAAAAAAAAAAACGGGTTTCGATACTCATGGTAGGCACAGCACAGATAACCCATTTTGTAGCTTTGTACTTA